AAAAAAAAAAAAAAGGACAAAGTCAAATGTAAGAGCTGCTAATAGTTCAGTGAACATCAGAAAGACAAGGAAAAGAAATGGGAAAAAAAATCAGTTGGTTGAAAACCCATCAGGAATACATTATGTATCCTATGGTAACAGACTTCGTCTTACCTCGTCATGAATAGAGACTACAGTTGAAACCGCAGCTCGAATATAATCTGAAACAGGTTCCTCAACATAAAAAGTTTCCACGTTGAATCCTCTACCCTACAAGTTCAGAAACAACTATTAATTATCCATATTGATAATAATTTCACCAACAACTCAAGTCGGTGCTTAACTTAAAAAATCAGAGGCATAGCATCTGTTACCTCAACTGAAAGAATGGCAGGCTCTTTATAAGGTCCATTTTCTTCCTCGTCTCGTCCTTGACGCCTTTGACCAAAATTTTAGCAAATAAGCTCAAAAAACTCAAATGAAAGGATAAATCTCAGACACAGAACAGTGAAGATTTAGAATAACTTAACATTGAAAACACAAGATGACATGGTGGGGAATCATCGAAAAGAATCAAAACATAGATTAAAGGGCCAATTAGGACTATCAACTAAGACAATCAAATTAGTAGTGAAGAACTTCGTCCACCATTGCATAAAATAAATAAATAAAAAAGAGGTCAGTGATATGTCTTTTATACACCCAGAAACTGCCATTTAGAGTGCGTTTGGTTGATATTTCTATTTCTTTTTTTTTTACCTCTTTTCCTTTCCTTTCTTCCCATGAAGCAACTTTTCAGAAAGAAAGACACTACTTTAAGCAAAAACTGTTGATGAAAACACAGAGTTTTACTGGGAAAATTTTACTCAAGACACAGTGACAAGGTAGATTGGAAATGACAAATTTATTTCATCAACATTTCATATTTCTCAGTAAACAAGTATGGGTTTTGTAGAAGTTAAACAAAAACAAACAATGTTGATATAGTCGAAACTCAATGCAAATTGCTCACTGAAAATGATATTAGTAAAGATTCCATGAAGAAACCTGTTATTAAAAAAAGAAGCCATTGATTTCGCTTCAATTGTAGCTGATGATATGACAAGACGGAGCTCAGGTCGGCGCCGTTGTATCTGTTTTAAAAAGTATTAGCTCAATGAAAGAGATACATAATGATATAGAAATAAACATGTCTTCTAAAAAAATCGGACACATACAAGAAAGTACCTTCTTTAAGAGACCTAACAAAATATCTGTTGAAAGAGACCTTTCATGAGCCTCATCCACCATGATCACACTGAAAGGACGAAGAGTGAGAAATAGTTATTTAAATAAAAATAAGGCGGCGTTCAAAAAGAAGCACCTTAAAAAACACCCAGTATGAGATTTAAGAAAAATCAACCTATCTAATCTCAATCATTAACCAATAAGCATTGATCACAAATGACTGCTTTGCTCACAACTTTATTATCTGGCCTCGACAGGCAATTTTTCCAGGAAGTTCATAATTCTCCAAAAACAACAAATTTTTTAAGTGCATAGACCTACCTGTACTTGCTCAGTAGAGGATCATCCATCATTTCCCTCAGCAACACTCCATCAGTGAGAAACTTTATCCTTGTTAGTTCCTACTTCCAAAAAGGATTATGATCATTTGTGTTTCGTGCTTATCAATATGCAGAAAGTAAGCTTGGTCTTCGCTGGTAAAATGAAGCCACGACAGCATTTCATAATAATGATAAAAAAAAAAAAGATAAAAAATGAAGGTTAAGAAAGAAAGAAAGAAAAACACTATAAGCAACTAGTAAATAAAAATAAATAAATGATGGCATCATTAATCAATGTATGAAATACACTGACAAGGATGAGAAGCTTTAGATACTCACGTTATTTGTAATATCTTCAAACCGGATTGTGTAACCAACTTCATCACCTAGTTTGACACCCATCTCCTCTGAAACCCTTGAAGCAACTGTCTGAATGCCAAATAAACTGTTAACTTTGTGCAGTTCATGCAACAGACTTATAGAATGTCTTCACTGCCGGACAGGGCAGCTATTAAGTGAAAGTTCATGGTAGCAACTGAAACTTAGATGAAATAGAAAATAAAGGTGCAGGGAAGGTCCAAAATGAGATATAGTAGCAAATGGAACACTGAAAACTAGGAAATTCGCCCATTTATACCATATGCTTGTTTAGGCCCTATGATTGTAGATCATACTCAATGAACAGAATCTACTACATAATCACAGAACATGAAAAAATAGAAAGTGGTATTTTTATTCGTGCCATTGATATATAGAATAGTGCGAAGGAAACCATATATAGGCATAATCCCAGCTACGCATGAACTCACATCTAAAAGTGTACCAAGCAAGCATATTTCTAGGACAGTGTTATCAAATGGCGGCCATGGCGTCACCATGGCGGTATGTCATGGCAGATTTTTAACAATCCACTATGCAAAATTTGTGAATGATGGCGGTCATGGCGGCTGCAATGGCGGAAATTTGGCAAAACGCCATGTACCGCCATCCGCCATTAATAACACTGTCCTAGGATAACAAGACTCTATGGATGAAAATAATTGAGTATCCAGGATTCCAATTCATTTAACTATCATTTTGCTTCATTAGAGTCATCTAAGTAAAATTCTGAATTTTCTTTTCCTTTCTCATGAGTCATCTTAACAATTGGTCTTGTGTAGACCAAACAAAGCCATCACGATACCTGCACAGCCAAACGCCTTGGTTGCGTACATGCTATCATTCGTCCACCCTCCGCCCATCCAGCTTCTTTCAAATACTGTAAACCGAGTTCATCAAAAACCAGAAAATCCCAAC